AGAAGTCTGCAAGCAGACTTAAAGAGTTATACGAGAGCTTACGATAATACATTGCTAAATACGCATTGTAATGAACAAATCGAATTATTTAATCAGATTTTGAAATTTATGTTTTTTACACTTTCCACTTAAATTGATTTTTTGTTATTTAGAATTAGCTACACTGAAAAAAAAGTTTAATAAATATTTGTTTGAATAGTTTGAATAGTTAAGTAAATGTAAACATATATTTATTTGATACAAAAACTATGAATTTGATTTAAATATTATTCTTTAATAAATATTTATTTACTATAAATAAATGTTTACTCAATATATTTAAAAAAATATGTATTAAGAATTTAGTAAATCTTTTTTTTTAGTGTAATCTTCTAGTTAATCAGGTGTAATAAATTTTTGCTATTGTAATACAAGAAAGTAAATAGTATCACGATAATGAAAAGTCGATAGTATTAAGCAAAGATACAGTGGGACGCATACAGATCGATGCAGAGAGGATGCCGCATCACGTAAGCGAGATTGGTCAGATCCAGTAGTTCGTTCGTGACCCGGACCAGCTGCGACCTTGGCCCGCATTTCGGAGACACAGCTGTGCGCTCGTACATGCACATTCGAATGTGTTCATCCGTATACATATGTAATAGCGGATTATACCGCTAGGAAATGATATAGCACTAATTATTATTGTATTAGTATTATTCGTATCGAGAAAGCCATAATTAATCCTCCGTATCAACTATGTGGAATTTTGAACCTCTATCAGCAACCTATGTCTTTGAGAGCCACAGTTACAGATTTTTATTATTTTTATTATTCCGGACTGTTTAAAAATCTAAAAGTACATGTGAAAAAATACTTGTGAAAGCTTTAACGTCGAGCTTTTACTATCATAGAAGTCGGATTGAATTTTAATTACTTATTTCTTTTACAGAAACTGTTTAGTTACATTAATTTTTCAAAATCTACAATTAAAAGATCGATTTGTGTCTTCAACTTGACCGAAGATTAATGAAAGATTTATGACCGTTTCTACCCAGGTGGATTAACTTCAATCTCAGTTCAATTTGAAATATCTTTTCTATAGTTTTACGAATTAGAAAAAGAATAGATTGAATCAAGATTAAGATTAATCTACATTAGTGGAAATAGGTATTAAAAGCTCAATCGAATTCCTGAGCAAATCTCTTAAAAAAGCATAAAGAAGATATATCCTTTAAAGAATTTATAACCATTTCCGGAAGTATGATTACGAATAAATACAGCAAAATTCTAACTATGAACAAACTGCATTGAAGTTTTTATAATGTATTCACGATACGTATATGTAACTGAGCAACGATTCAGAGTAGTATTCTTGGACACGCTCAAGTAATTAAAAACGCGCATTTGTGGACGTGTCGCGAGCATCCGTCGCGCGGTACAGAATACCGCACAATAAAAATGCATCTGCATTTTGCGGTGCATTCGACGTAGTCGATGCGGTATCGACAAGAAGTATTTCGATGAACTATGCAAATAAAAACGCGAACAAGAAATTTAAGAGAGAATTTTCTCTCAAAGAGAACTTTTCGAACCGCAATGTCCACGTTAAAGCCATGGAAAACAAAGATGAGTTTGCCAATCAACGCCCGGAATTGTTCCAATCAAACGAGATAAAAATTATAGTCCGCCGAGTACGGACAGGCTTTGTTTCTTTTGTGATAGATCTTTTTTCTCTTTGACATGCACACGCGAATTGTTTCTCCACGAGGCGCGACGTCTCGCGTAAAATTCGCTGCCTCGAGAATACAGGAATGTCAGAGAGAAAAGTCTTTTTTTCAACGATGAGAGATGTTATTAAGTTGAATTAACATGTGAGCTCAGAACGCGTCACTTTGCAATTTTCAATGATTAATCATACAATCAAATTTGAATATAAAATATAAATCGAATGTAACATATATAAAAAAACCTATATATATGTACATAATTTTTTCTATGTTTATATTTAATTATATAATTTTAATTTTTTTTTTCAGACTTGTCAAATTTGATATTAATTAAATGTGATGTTAATTAAATAGATAGTGAATGCTTTGATCTTTAATAATCATTAGGCAGGCGTTATCACAAAATCATTGATTTAATTGAATTAAAATAAAAATTAATAAAAGAAGAAACGTTGAATGAGATTCAAATGAATAGTGTATTTGGAAAATAATGCAAGCGATAGAGTCTATGCAGCTCGGAAAGCTGAATAAATGGACAGTGAGCCCGGCAGCGCACAGGTGTGCGAAACTTTCATGACGGCTGGTCGGCTTAATGAAATATTCCATTCATGGTAATGTTTAACTGTGGAATGACTTCCAGCAATCTGGCGCAGATATAAGTCAAGAGTAGAGTACAATTAGTTGTTCCTCGCGCGCTATTTTTAAATTTCTTTTTCTCGATCAAAGTTAAACTTTCTATATCTTATCGAACGGAGATTCTACTCTTTTCAATAGGATTCTTCGAGGGGGAGAAATGGAAGATTATATTAAAATGAATTTATATATTGGAATGAATTTATATAATGGAAGATTATATTGAGTTGGAGAAAAAGTTTCTTCGTATTTTTTAATTCAAAATTGTATATACAATATTTTCGTCAAAAATGAACGAAATTTAAATTAAAAAAAGGCTTTTAAAACTTAAAATCTCTACTTTCGAAAGGTTACTATATTTTTTGTTTCTGTGACTTTGGTAATTTTTACATTTAAAAAGCTATGAGCTGAAAAAGATAAAAAATTTTCTTTTCACTTTGAGGGTCTTTCACGTACCCAAAAAAAATTTATGAAAATTTTCGACTACTCATCGTGAAAGCTTTTTCTTTCAAAATCATTTTTTAAAAATGTTCCTATGATTTTTGTTCTTAAGTTATTCGCGAATTAAGTAAAGAAGCATTCTCTGATTTCGATTGCTCATAATTCCGAAAATAAAAATCATCATATCGCCATTTAAAAAACAAATTCTTAAAGTTGAAACTTTGCTCTGGCGAATGATATAATCGTAACAAAAATTTCGCAACAAATGAAAAACTTTTGCAAAAAAATTTTTTTAAATATACAAAGAAACTTTTTCCCTGACCTAATATTAAAATGAATTTATATATTACATGCATCATGTAAAAAAAATTTTCTCAAAACATTTTAAATACATACATGTATATCATTTTTAATATTCCTATGGTTATTTTGCATATATCAAGTTATACTCTCTTTTTTAAAAATTGAAGAATTACTCGACTGTAAAACTACTATAAAAATAAGAAGACACGAATAAAACTTTTTAAATAACATAATAATAGAAATAATAATAGAAATAAATAACATAATAATAGTTATATAACTTCTATATGGAATATTCCGTTATCGTAAAACCTTTTAAAAAGAAATTTTTGATGCAATTTGGACTTGTCATTTTTCATAATTTGTTCCTAACATTATTTCTTCATAATTAGATCTTAAATACAAATTTTATAAGAGCGAATCTTTAAAATTTATTACAAGATATCATTATCTATTCGCTAATCTAAAAAAAAACCTAAAGTTTACTTTGTAATAATTTTTAATTATGGCTGCTATAACTTATAAATTAGTGGTACTTACTTGTTAGATATTTTTATAGAAAAAATAGTCTCTGTATTACATTATAAAATAATTTGTTCTTAATCTTCTACGAATGAATGTTGCATATTTGAACATTGCAACGTTCAGTTTAAAATTAAATTCGGGATAAATTTTATACAGATTAGTTATTTAAGAATTAAAAATGAAAATATATGTACTAAATAGTGAATATAGTATACTTTAACCATCAAAAACGTTATACATCGATATACGGAATATGTACTAATAGATTCTTTACTTATGAGATAATTTTAAGAAAAAGTTAGTAAAGAAATTTTTCGATAAGAAAAAACATCATCTCTAGAGGATTAAGAAGGTTAATGATAAAAATAGAATATATAATTTTACTAGCTTTTACCATTTTGTTTTTAAATTAAAATTGAATAAATAGATCTTGTTAATTAATCTCTCTCTACAATTATTTATTAATTAAATCTGTTGTAAAACATATCATTAAAACAAAGCGATATAAAAAGATAAATTTAAGATATGTGAATGATGAAATGACTAAGACTCATCAAAATCGATTGAAAGATTTCAAGAGATAATTAGAGATAAATCAATATCGGTTCATTCCCGCTTTATTTGATCTTCTATTCCGTTCGCGCGATGTTCAGTGACGACCTTAACCTGGACAGTCCCGAGAACACGGCGATATTGGAGATTCGCATTCGAAAGGGGTTAACAACGAACGGACAGGTCAATAGGAGGAACCGAACTGGTGTGAGTAAGCCTCCAGCAGAGGTACATAATGTGTCCGGACCAATCCCACCTCCATGGTATAGTCGGGCCAATTCGATAAGCCCTTAATCCATCGGCAATTAGCTTGTGCGCACCGGTTCTACCGCAAGCTCTTTACCCTCCATTGGGTTCGCGTTGCTCATCGATCCCTCGGAAACACTCATCCGATACAGTTTATCCATTTCACTCAGTTTACTTTTGAAATTAGTACCGTATTTTGCACGATTGGTCGACGGGTCAGTTCAATAAATTGACAACAAGAACGCGAACAAATAGCCTATTTCAACGGCGCGTTTACGTTTTTGAGTTTGCAAACTCGCGTTATTATCGAGAAAACAGTATAGTAATATAAAACGAACCGGACATGTAACGCGCAACGCGGCATTAAATTAAATCACGTACGAACGAACGGATTGTGAGAGAGGGCGAGCGCTCGGTTCATCCCGAAAGTATCGGACGTGACCAGCGAACGAGACCTGTTTTATGTTCGCGAGAGAAGATCGGTGGCGGATATGGCGTACCGCAATCTTCGTAAAAAGACTGCAAGATGTTGACCAGAAGCGGCCGACTCGCGTACAATCTCTAAAAAATAGTAAAAAGAGAGAGACTTACCGTGACACATCCTCCTGGGAAACTGCCCTTGGTGTCCCAGTACCGTGCAGAGCAAGAGATGACGCGTGACGTGATTCCTGCGAATATGGTAGAGCCGCGGTGTTGTTTTCTATCGCGGACACGGAGCCGTTTTGCTTACCTATCAAACAAAAAATTAGAGACATCGTCTGTTATTGTACATGTGTGAAAAATCATCAACAAATCCTTCCAATGTTTTCTATTTCTGATGTTATTTCATTGTACGTAAAAGATATTAAATCTATTCGATAGTATAAATAAATATTCACTGACTATATATGCTCGTCTTTATTTTCATAATAGAATTATTTTTATTATTAATAATTAATTATATGTATATATATATACATATAATTTTAAATGCATGTTTTTGTCCTTAAAACATATATATTTTATATTGTAAAATAATATATGGTATAATAAA